AACCCCTCACAGTTATAAACATCTACAGAGTACCACAGTCAAACATTTATCACTTTAGTGAAAAACTAGGAAACATGATTACTGATGCACACATGAATAAGAACCACCTACTACTAACAGGAGATTTCAACATAAACATACTACATGACCAGGACCCACAAGTAACCGAATTCACAAACACAATGAGTAACTGCCTGTTGCTACCAGCAATATCTAAACCTACAAGAATCTCCGAGACAAGCATGTCCTTAATAGGGACAAACACCATATCCCCTTTAAAATCAGGCATAATCACAGACAACACTACAGACCACTACCCAACCTTTCTCATAACTAATCTGGGCAAACTGCTACAATACATTACTAAAGTAACCTTCAGACTACATAACGAGACAGCAGTTAACAACTTTATAGCAGCTATGAATAACATCGATTGGCAAAATGAGCTTAAAACACATACAGATATGAATGAATGTATAAATAATTTTCTAAAAAAAGCCCAATGCCTCTATAACAGACACTGCCCCAGAAAAACAAAACAGATCACAGCAAAGAGACTGAATAATCCCTGGCTAGCACCAAACATCCTCAAATCCATTAACACAAAGCACAAATATGAAAAACAGCATAGAATGGGTCAAATAACTAGAGAACAGTCGAAAAATTACTCGTCAGCACTTACCAGCCTGATAAGGTCAAATAAATTGTATTATGAAAATAGATTACATAACATCAAAGGTGATATGAAAAAAACTGGAAAACTCTATCTGAAATTCTTGGAACTAAAAAGCTATCCAAAAACAAAGCAATCAAACAAACAAAATCAGATGAACCCCTACTCACTCCAACCGAAACAGCAAACAGACTTAATGTTTTCTTCTCCACCATAGGAAAAAATCTATCGAACAAAATACCAAGCACAAACACCCGTCCATCAGACTACCTCATAGGTACCTCCCCAAATACGCTATTCCTAGCTCCAACCAACCCCATTGAAGTTAGGCTCATCATAAACACCCTTAAAAACAAGGCAGGAGACATAAACAACTTGCCTGCTTTTATGTACAAAAAAGCTTCTCAAGTATTGTCACCAATTATTGCAATGCTCTTTAACAAATCCATTGAATCATCTATCTTCCCAACAATCCTCAAAATAGCAAGGGTCACTCTGATCCACAAAGGAGGTGACCAAGCTGACTTGAATAACTATAGACCTGTATCTAACTTACCAGTGCTCTCTAAAATCTTTGAAAAATTAATTCATAGACGGATCTATTCCTACCACGTTTCACACAACATATTAAACCCTTGTCAGTTTAGATTCAGGAATAATAAAAGCACAAATGATGCTATCATACACATGCTAGAACTAATATATACCGCACTTGAAAAGAAAGAAGTCCTGCTGGGCATTTTCATTGATTTACGTAAAGCTTTCGATACAGTCGACCATGAACTGCTGTACTCCAAATTAATGCACTATGGTATCAGAGGCCACCCCCTCAACTACCTAAAGTCATACCTTAGTAACAGAACTCAATATGTGTATGCAAATGATGCAAACTCTTCCACCCAACCAATCACAGTAGGAGTCCCACAAGGAAGCATCCTTGGACCACTCCTCTTTCTCATCTACATCAATGATCTACTGAATGCATCACAGCTACTCAAACCCATATTATTTGCAGATGACACTACATATGTATTTTCCCACCCAAACACAGTCATACTAGCAAACACAGTCAATGCTGAATTACAGAAAATATCTGCCTGGATAATGACTAACAAACTTACCCTGAACACTGATAAAACCTATTTCATTCAATTTGGAAACAAAGCTGCAAATGATCCAATTAACATAATGCTAAATGGATCATCAGTCACAAGACTCACAGAGGGAAAATCCTAGGTATCCACCTTGACAGTAGCCTTGAGTTCCAGACACACACACAACAAATCACCAAGAAAATCTCCAAGACTGTAGGCATACTATCAAAGATAAGGTACTACATTCCACAATCAGCTCTCCTGGCACTGTACCATTCACTCATATACCCTTATCTTACATATGGAATTTGTGCATGGGGATCAACAACATCCAACCACCTAAAACCCCTAATAACCCAGCAAAAGGCAGCAGTAAGAATGATAACAAATTCCCACTCCCACCAGCATACTCCACCAATTTTCAAAAGTCTGAATCTGCTCACCATTAAGAACATCCATACTTATTCATGTGCCTACTACATACACGGAACAATACACGCAAATATAAACCCTCCACTCAAACTTCTCCTCACCAACCTAAACAGGACACATTACCACAACACAAGACACAGATCTCGTTTTGATATACCTCGTGTCCATATCACACTGTGTAAAAACTCTATGCACATCAAGGGCCCCAAGATATGGAATTCATTACCAGAAAATATTAAAGTAACCCAGTCTGAAAATCAATTTAAGACTCTTCTCAAAAGCCACTTAATCACCCTAGACTAAATGCTAAATACTCAGTACACACTTACTCACCTATGTACTCCCACATCATAACTGAAACAATCACATTGAACCTTTTATCCATTGTTGACAGGAATATAATTGAATCATTGTTTTCACAAAAGCATTTTAGAATATAAATATATCTTTGTATTATACAAATTTTGATTCATTTATAATTAATATTCTATTGTACAACTATGAAATAATTACTATCCTACTGTACAACTATGATAAAATCCTTAGTATTAAGTACACTGTAAGTCAATAATGTTAGGTTGGCCCATAATGCCTAGGCATAATAGAGGCTCTCTTTGTACTGCAACCCATTATTGTAAATACAAAATCTCAATGTACTGTTTGCAAAGACAAAATAAATAAACAAATAAATAAATAAATAAATAAATAAATAAATAAATAAATAAATAGAGAGTCTAATTTACATACTAATCTAATTTGACTCGGTGCTGAAGGCAACGTTGAGAAACAGACAAGATGACTTGCTTGTGGGCAATTATTAATTAATTAGTAAATAATAATAAAAATAATAATAATAATAATAATATCTTTGTTTACTACAAGTACACATATAAGGTAAACAGAACATATTTATTTATTTATTTATTTATTTAAAAATTTGAGCACACATACAGAGGTACAAAAAATACAGATAAGAGCAGCATGCCAAAGCCACTTATACTATGCATAGCATTACGGGCTGGCTTAAAATTAACTTAAGATTAACTAAGCAATGATGAAATCAGTGATAAAACTTTAATGTAAACAGATTACTATAAAGCACAAGTGAGTATTACAAAGACAGGTCATATGGTTGTATGCATTGTTGTACATTCAGTAGAATGGAGTATTCTGTTAGGTAGTGTATTTAAAAAATAATAAAGTTAGATTGGGTTTTAGGTTTAACATTTATGTGATATAATTGTGAGAAACATTTAAGATATACAATTTATAAGGTTCAGTTATTCAGTATTTATTTGGTTTTGGGTGAGTAAGTGATCTTTGAGAAGAGACTTGAATTTATAGACAGGTAGTGTTTCTTTTATATTTACAGGTAATGAATTCCAGATTTTAGGGCCTTTTATGTGCATTGAGTTTTTGCATAGTGTGAGATGGACACGAGGAACATCAAAGAGTGATCTGTGCCTTGTGTTATGGTCATGTGTTCTGTTGAGGTTGGCAAGGAGATGTTTGAGGGGAGGGTTAATATCAGAGTTAAGTGTTCTATGTATGTAATAGGTGCAGTAATAAGTATGGATGTTTTGTATGGTGAGTAGGTTTAGTGTATTGAATATTGGTGGAGTGTGCTGCCTATAGTGAGAATTTGTTATCATTCTAACATAGCCGACATCAATGACATACATACTACTATATTGAAAGCTGCTTGTTATGCAGAGCATTTCCCGCAAATTATGTCAATTTTGTCCCAGGATGCAACCCACACAAGTCCACTAACACCCAGGTACCCATTTTACTGTAGATGAATGGTTCAGAGAACCAACAAGTTGATAAATTAGAAAAAAGTGCAACACTTGGGTATCTTTAATGAGGAAACGTTTTGCCACACAGTGGCTTCATCACTCCATACAAAGGAGAACATTGAAGAAAAGGAGGAGTCTGAGGTAATCAGTCCCTCAGTCTTGAGTCAATGTGGTCAGTCCAACAATCTTGAAAAGAACACAGCATATGTGCAGAGAAGTAGCTTATATACTGTAGGCAGGAGAGGTGCAGCAGTCGTGGGTTAATATCACATTTGTCCAATGTGAAGAAAGGTTCGTCCCCAAAGGGGTTTTAGACAAGTGGTGAAGCCGCTGTGGACGAAACGTTTCATCATTAAAGATACCCAAGTGTTGCACGTGTCTAATTTATCAACCCATTTTACTGATGGAAATATTATTATCATGATTATTACAAGGAAGTGTTAAACTCATATGGGTTATACAGTGTAATGAATGAGAAATAATCAGGTTTGAACCCAGGAAGAAGATTCAAGCACATACAATAGGACATCATATACATTTAACCTAGGATAACACAAAGACTAACAATATGAGTTATCTACTACATTATAGTTAATTAGGGAAAACTTACGAATCTTTAAACCAATCAAAATATATTTAAGGTACCACTATAGTAAAAACTGGAATGACTTGGTTGTGGGTGGGAGGTGCCTTGATGCTGGTCAGGGGCTCTTGATCACAGGAGGTGGATTCCTCCTCTTACTTGGCGTGAACCTTGGTGCCTCTCACGTCCCGGGCGATATATGCCCCCTGAGGGTTTAGCGCTTTGCCTCTTTAATACGAAAGAAGGGGTTTGGGGGTAAGTGAGGGGCAGCAGTGAGGGGCAGCAGTGAGGGGCCTGGCCCTTAGCCAGACCTCCTCAACAAGCCAATTAAGGGGCGTCCAGTCCCCCTTCACCCTTCAGAAGGAAGTAGGTGGTGGTGAGGGGTCGCAGCCATGACTAAGAGAGCAAGAGTAACTCACCAGGTTGTCTGACATGAGCTGTGTGACTCTCCAACACTCACAAATAAGACATAATAATATAAGACACTAGTGTCACCTTCATCATGTATCATTGGTGTTCCAACAATGTCTCCTCCTACAATATATATCATCCTTCCATCACCATCACTCACTACTACAACCAAACACTTATTTAAACTCATTATTATTACCTTAATGCTTTCAATAAATATTATTTATTACAACAATTATTTTCTGAATTAGCAATTGTTTACAAGGTTGTAGAAGACTTTCAACTTGTGTTTATAAACAGTTTTAGCAGTGTTGAGGTAATGTTGAGGTAATGTTGAGGTAACGTTGAGGTAACGTTGAGGTAACGTTGAGGTAATGTTGAGGTAACGTTGAGGTAACGTTGAGGTAACGTTGAGGTAACGTTGAGGTAACGTTGAGGTAATGTTGAGGTAACGTTGAGGTAACGTTGAGGTAACGTTGAGGTAACGTTGAGGTAACGTTGAGGTAATGTTGAGGTAACGTTGAGGTAATGTTCAGGTAATGTTCAGGTAATGTTGAGGTAACGTTGAGGTAATGTTGAGGTAATGTTGAGGTAACGTTGAGGTAATGTTGAGGTAATGTTGAGGTAGCGTTTTAGGGAATGTTGAGGTAACGTTGAGGGGAACGTTGAGGTAACGTTGAGTAACGTTGAGGTAATGTTGAGGAATGTTGAGGTAAGTTGAGGTAACGCTGAGGTAACGTTGAGGTAACGTTGAGGTAACGTTGAGGTAACGTTGAGGTAATGTTGAGGTAATGTTGAGGTAACGTTGAGGTAATGTTGAGGTAACGTTGAGGTAACGTTGAGGTAACGTTGAGGTAATGTTGAGGTAACTGAGTTAAAGTTGAGGTAATGTTGATGTAATGTTGAGGTAACGTTGAGGTAATGTTGAGGTAACGTTGAGGTAAAGTTGAGGTAATGTTGAGGTAATGTTGAGGTAATGTTGAGGTAACATTGAGGTAAAGTTGAGGTAATGTTGAGGTAACGTTGAGGTAATGTTGAGGTAATGTTGAGGTAATGTTGAGTTAACGTTGAGGTAATGTTGAGGTAACGTTGAGGTAATGTTGAGTTAATGTTGAGGTAATGTTGAGGTAATGTTGGGGTAATGTTGAGGTAACGTTGAGGTAACGTTGAGGTAACGTTGAGGTAATGTTGAGGTAACGTTGAGGTAACGTTGAGGTAATGTTGAGGTAACGTTGAGGTAATGTTGAGGTAATGTTGAGGTAATGTTGAGGTAATGTTGAGGTAATGTTGAGGTAATGTTGAGGTAATGTTGAGGTAACATTGAGGTAACGTTGAGGTAATGTTGAGGTAATGTTGAGGTAATGTTGAGGTAGCGTTGAGGTAATGTTGGGGGTAATGTTGAGGTAACGTTGAGGTAACGTTGAGGTAATGTTGAGGTAACGTTGAGGTAATGTTGAGGTAATGTTGAGGTAACGTTGAGGTAACGTTGAGGTAACGTTGAGGTAACGTTGAGTTAATGTTGAGGTAATGTTGAGGTAATCTTGAGGTAATCTTGAGGTAAAGTTGAGGTAATGTTGAGGTAACGTTGAGGTAACGTTGAGGTAACGTTGAGGTAACGTTGAGGTAACGTTGAGGTAATGTTCAGGTAATGTTGAGGTAACGTTGAGGTAACGTTGAAGTAATGTTGAGGTAATGTTGAGGTAACGTTGAGGTAATGTTGAGGTAATGTTGAGGTAATGTTGAGGTAACGTTGAGGTAACGTTGAGGTAATGTTGAGGTAACGTTGACGTAACGTTGACGTAATGTTGAGGTAACGTTGAGGTAACGTTGAGGTAACGTTGAGGTAACGTTGAGGTAACGTTGAGGTAACGTTGAGGTAATGTTGAGGTAACGTTGAGGTAACGTTGAGGTAACGTTGAGGTAACGTTGAGGTAACGTTGAGGTAACGTTGAGGTAACGTTGAGGTAACGTTGAGGTAACGTTGAGGTAATTTGAAAGGATTTAAAGTTGAGGTAATGTTGAGGTAATGTTGAGGTAACATTGAGGTAATGTTGAGGTAATGTTGAGGTAACGTTGAGGTAATGTTGAGGTAACGTTGAGGTAATGTTGAGGTAATGTTGAGGTAATGTTGAGGTAACGTTGAGGTAGCATTGAGATAATGTTGAGGTAATGTTGAGGTAATGTTGAGGTAACGTTGAGGTAATGTTGAGGTAATGTTGATATAATGTTGAGGTTAGGTTGAGGTAACGAGGTAACGTTGACATAATGTTGAGGTAATGTTGAGGTACATGAGGAAGTTGGGAATGTGGTAGCTTGAGGTAATGTGAGGTAACTGGGGGTAATGTTGAGGTACGTTGAGGTATGTTGAGGTATGTTGAGGTAACGTGAGGTAATGTTGAGGTAACGTTGAGGTAATTGAGTAATGTTGACTTAAGTTGAGGTAACGTTGAGGTAATGTTGAGGTAACGTTGAGGTAATGTTGAGGTAATGTTGAGGTAATGTTGAGGTAACGTTGAGGTAATGTTGAGGTAATGTTGACAATGTTGAGGTAACGTTGAGGTAATGTTGAGGTAATGTTGAGGTAATGTTGAGGTAACATTGAGGTAATGTTGAGGTAATGTTGAGGTAATGTTGAGGTAACATTGAGGCAATGTTGAGGTAATGTTGAGGTAACATTGAGGTAATGTTGAGATAATGTTGAGGTAACATTGAGGTAATGTTAACTTTGCTTACCATTACTTAATTTTAGTCCCTTATATATTTTCTCCTTTATTTTAGCTTTATATAACTATCCTAGTTTATATATCCACAATGTTAAATAATCAAGGTGCTATTTCTCAGGTGGTAAAGTTTGAATAAGTTCACAATTTTGCCTAAATTCAAAACTCATTTATTAATTACACTTTATTGTTCACCACAACCTAATTTAGTCCCTTTTATTATAATTTTAAACTATATTTAATTTAAAAAATTACCTTTATAGTACTACCTACTATCATATTCCCAAGCTGTATTTATATGATCATCACTTTATTTGTATATAGTCCCTTAGCTCATTATTTTACATTTGTTAAATAATTCAGGTGCTCTTTTTTAGCTTAAGACTATTTACTTTGTTTTATACTTAATTCTAACTATAGATTCACTACAAATCTTATGATTACAAGCATTGATCCTGATACCAACCTCTTATTTAATGACTTAAATGAATCAAACAGTTACTGTAATTACTACACTGCAGAACAATCAAAGGCACTTCTCAGTGCCAACAACAACATAACTATCTTTAACTACAATATCAGATCTTTAAGCAAGCATTACGATGACCTCATAGCATTACTAAATTCCTTACATGCCAATATGTCCATCATTACACTAACTGAAACCTGGCTAAAGCCTGATAGTACAGATGTCTATGCCATTCCTGGTTACACAGCCATACACAACTGTAGGCCAGACCAACAAGGGGGTGGCACAGCCATATACTACTCAGACCAACTAGAATGTATCACTAATACTTGCACAAGGGATGAAAATGGGGAATATATAATAGCTAAATTCAAATCCAAATACCTACAAAAACCTCTCACATTGATAAAACATCTACAGAGTTCCACAGTCAAACATTAGCCAATTTAGTCAAAATCTAGGAAGTATGATAACTGATGCAGCATGAACAAAGATCACTTACTACTCTCAGGTGACTTCAATATAAATCTCCTGCAAGACCAGGACCCACACGTTACTGAATTCACAAACACAATGAGTAACTGTATGTTACTACCAACAGTAACAAAACCTACAAGAGTTACAGAGACTAGTGTTTCCCTACTTGACCACATCTGGACCAACACCATATCCCCTTTAAAATCAGGCATAATTACAGATAATACCACAGACCACTACCCTACTTTCCTCATAACAACTCTTGGTAAACTACCCCAAGACACTACAAAGTCACGTTCAGACTTCACAATGAGGCAGCATTAATAACTTCACAACAGCAGTAGCAAACATTGATTGGCACACTGAGCTAGAAATCTATACAGATATTGACGAATGTATTAATAATTTTCTAAAAAAGACCCAATACCTCTATAACAAGCACTGCCCTAAAAAAACTAAACAGATGACAGCAAAGAGACTGAACAGTCCCTGGCTAACACCAGCATTCTCAAATCCATAAATACAAAAACCCAATATGAAAAACAGTACAGAATGGGTCACATAACCAGAGACCAAACAAAACGTTACTCGTCAATCCTAACCAGCCTGATAAGAAGGGCAAAAAAATTGTATTATGAGAACAGATTATCCAACTTACGAGGTGATATAAAAAAGACCTGGAAAACCTATCAGAAATTCTGGGAACAAAAAAGATATCACGAAATAGCGAAATAAAATTAGCAAAATCAGATGAACCCCAACTCCCACCAACAGAAACAGCAAACAGACTCAATGATTTCTTCTCCACTATAGGACAAAACCTTGCCAATAAATCCCAAGCTCAGATACCCCACCAAATGACTACCTCACTGGCAACTACCCGAAAACACTGTTCTAGCTCCGGACTAACCATACGAAGTCTCCCTTATTATCAATGCACTAAAAAACAAGGCAGGAGATTTAAGTACCTTACCACCCCTTTATATACAAAAAAGTGTCACAAGTGCTTTTCTCCAATCATTGCAACACTCTTTAACAAATCCTTTGAATCCTCCACCTTCCCTACAGTACTCAAAATAGCAAGGGTCACCCCGACCCCACAAAGGAGGAGACCAAACAGAGTTGATAACTTAGGCCAATATCCAACTTACACCCTCCCCAAAAAATCTTCGAAAAATTAATTCATAAACGAAATCTATTTCCTACCTTATCTCCCAAAACATACTCAACCCCCGCCAATTTGGATTCAGGCCTAATAAAAATACTAATGATGCTATTATACACATGCTAGAACATATATACACTGCAATAGAGAAAAAGAAGTCCCATGGGGATCTTCATTGACTACGTAAAGCTTTTGATACAGTTGACCATGACTTGCTCCACGTAAAATTGTCACACTATGGTATAAGAGGGCACTCCCTCAACTACCTCAAGTCATA